GTTTGGAAAGAGGGAAGGATAGATCAAATTTCCATCGCAGCCTCCGGCTTGCGTACAAGGACTTCTCTGATGAAATTAGCCTCTGATGAAATTCATTGAGAATTAACAAAATTACCGAATTTTACCAAACTTCACATTTTCAATAGAATCCATGACTTTCTTCTCAAGGGGCAGAAAACAATCGCCCCATTCTCTACCAGCGACCGCTTTTGAGTAAAAGCTTGATTGCTTCGTGGGCTCATTGCAGCTTAGCAAATCAACATCTCGTCTTTGACTTTTCGAATAGCACTTTATTCAGAGAAACGAAGTTGGCAATGCGGAAGTATCAAGTGGATCAATTACGGTATTATTATGCCGTAATTGAATGCGATTCTGTAAAGACAGCCGAGGCAATCTATAACGAGTGTGACGGTTACCAGTTTGAGTCGAGTAATGTCAAAATGGATCTACGGTTCATACCAGATGACATGGAGTTTGATGTGAGTCATATTTTGGATATCTTGCTATTGCACCAAAGTTAACAAATTTGTTGAACGTTTCAGAAAGATCGGATCAAAGAGGAGCTGTGTGAAGGCGATGTTAACGTCGCTAAGTATAAGTCAAAAGAAAAGGTACTGATGCATTATCGGAGTTTAGGCCATGGCCTCCGCCCTAAAATTCCATGATGAGGCTTGAGCTGAGATTGGCGACCTGTGAAGAATTAGCCCGTGATCGGGTCCAAGCCCCTAACACTTAAATATGTGATGTTCTGAATAACCTTCAACTTTCCTTTAGCTTCAATCGGCTATCGCGCAAACGAGCGCTCGAATCGGATGGGATGAGACAGAGGAGATGCGTTCGAGGAAATTTGCAGAAGCTTTCAAGTACAGTAATCAGTGATCTATGTTGATAATTTTTCATTATAAGTTATACCCAAGGAATAGGTTTCAACAGAACTTATCCGTTGAAGAGGAATTGTTTTTTAGGCAAACTTGCAATCGGTTTTTTGGAACTTCAAAGACTGGGTTGTATTCGGTAAGGGGGGGGGGGCATGTGATTTGACATTGCTGCTGGCTACAGAAATTGCAATTTTCAAGGAATTGAAATCTCAGGGATGCGTCAGCCACTTCGCTTCTGCTTTTACACCCACCTTCAAGCTTCCCTCTCCTGCAAAAAATTGAATTATTTTGTGCGATGTGGCTACCAATGCACACATGCTCCCCTTCACCTTAGAATTGAGACCCTAACGAGTTTTATGGTCAACTTGGAATCACAACAAAGGATCTTAACCTCAGTACCAAGTTGCATAGCATTTCTCGTTTCACATTCAGTTCTCTGTTGAAGTATTTTATTAGGTTGTCCCATAATTAGTGAATCACTTTGGGTATTTTTGAGTTCAATTTTTTTCTTTTTGATTCGAAGTCCTTGCTCATCCAAACATACACCTCTGTCATCTATAATGTATTGCCTCATAGGAATTTATTCGCTCACTTTCCTCTGAAAGTGCGGAGATCTTGAACGAAGAAGGACTGGAAGTCGGGTTTGAGGTCGTATCACTTAGCGTAAAATTTCTTTTTGAAGAGGAGTGCTAGAGCTCAGACAAGGTTGTCCTTAGCTGGTACGAGGATAGTGCTACACAACGAAGCTGAAAGAACTGTTAGCCTGAGAGTCGCCAACTTTTTATAAATAATCTACCCAAGGTGGGTCGAATGACCTCAGAAAAAAAGCCAACTTTGTCTTGTTTTGCTTTCAAATTGAACACGTTGCCACTGTGCTGTCCACGTTTGCCTTCTTCACTAATTCTAGTGTTACTGGGCGGCGGATCTCAGCGCAGGTTCCTTTTCTAATTTCACCAACATTTTAGAAGTGTCGAACATAGAGGAAGTTGGGCTTTTGCTGTCAGAACTCCCGAATCGCTTGAGCTAGGCTACTGCTCCTGGTGGATTTGCTAGCACACTCACCCAGTCTACAAAACTGGTGAATATGCAGGACGGTCACTGAAACGAACTCTAGGAAATCAAAAAGAACATGATGATGTCAGATCGTGTTCGAGGGTGATTCGGCACAGAGCATGTGAGATACAAATTCCATATTTTAAATTCTTTACGACTCTACAGAAATCCCTACATTCCATAATCTGAACAAGTCGGATATGCTCTGACACATAGCGACTACTTTGTCCAGATCCAATCACAGCTGCGCTGGGTAGAGCAGCAAGATTGCCAGTAGAGGGGTAGTTAGAGTATCGGTCATCTTCAAATGGAAAAGCCAAATCCGGAACAGTGTGAACCGTGGATTGAAGAAGTGTGTCCTCGCCTATTTGCTGGTTGATCCACTACGTTGGTTGGCGTTTGGAAGATGCTAATCCGAAGTGATGAGTGAGAAAGCTCAAAAATAGGTTTTAGAAAAATTGATGTTATAGCCACGTAAGGCAGCGTGTAAATGGGCTGATCAAATGCTTAGGTAGGATAATGTGGGTGCAACTTCGCAAAACAACTTCGACGCCTTTACCATTTTTCTTGAATTTTTTATAGCAATGAATGTAAAGTGATTCACTAATTATGGGACAACCTAATAGTTGAGTGACTATGTTCCAGCAACGAGGAGGGAGCCACAGATCTCATTGCGTGTTCGGATTCGGACGGATGATTTCAGAAAGTCGAGAAAAGGCGATCCAAGCCGTTTTGTTCGTGCCTCGGTAGCAAACGAAGACGGTTAGAGGGATTTAAGAGGTGACTAGAAGGAATATTACATATTTCACCCTACGCCCAAAAACTAATGCGTCTTGTGAACTTGGCCTGACCAGGGTGGCTTTGTATAGCATGCCAAAGTACAGAAGACTTCGTGACATGCTCTTGAAATTGCTTCCAGCTATTGGCAAGTTTCGCCCAAGAAAATGTTTTGTCCAATTTTCTAAGCTACTCTTGCAAGTGTTTTCTTAATTATACTGGAAGTGGCTAAAACTGCCTCGACTTATTATTCTATATGTTTTAATTGTAAGTAATTCTAGACTAATCTCCTGGCAGTTCTTTGTCTTCGAAAACGGTGCATTATCGCTTGCGTATGATTGTCATCTGCCGTCCCATTCACAGACTCTTACCTGTTTTGGTCGCTCACCTGACCATCTCGGGGTCTCAGCCAGGGATCGAGGCGACCCACGGACTGTCTTCGTTTTAGCTCTGCTGGTTTTCGTGAACCGCTCCGCCTACCAATAAACGTTGAACTGTTTTGCCTAAATTATCTTGCTACTCCTATTTTAGGCTTTTCCTAACGAAACTATGAGCTTTCGTTATGTCAAGTGCCGCCAGTCTGAGCACGTCATCCACCATTAACTGGTTGTCATTTCTTCCTTCCTCCATAGTCTATCAACTTCTTCGGTGGTGGTGAGCTTTGTCTAGTCGGAGCACTCAGCCTATCGTGCCCGATACTCCTGTTGTACCGGGCGTAGACATCCAACCTTAGACGTTGCTCATCCCTAGCATTTTTTGTGGTTTTCTTTGACCGGGATCAGGGAACCTCATGTCAAGCACTGCCTATTTAGAGGGTGCTCGTCCAGCAGGCGTGGGTCTCCTTTACCTCGTTCACCAACTTTTTAATCACATTTATTCGTTTGTCCTTCGCTCTGGGCTATTTTGAAGCCCAGTTAGGTTTTGCATTCGGCAAGTCCTTCCCACTGTTAGACTTTGTGAATTCCTTCAGTGATACCGGATTTCATGACAGACGTGAACGCAAAGGCAGACAGGCGTTGTACATGTTGTAGGAAAAATTCATCTGTTTCATTTGATACCATTATTTTGATTTTTTTTAGGTTGACTGGGACAATCATCGCATCAACGGGGCAAGTGACGATGAAGAGAAACAGGAAGAGGAAGAGGAGGAGGAGGAGAGTGACGATGACCATATTGTTGACAAGAAAAAGGAGAATAGCGATGAGGAGCCGGATGAAAAAGATGCTATTCGGAAAATAGAACCGAAGAAGAAAGAGGTGACCATTCCGATGGCGAAGTTCGACTAATCTATTGATCTTTTTTGTGTTTGTTTAAGAATGCGATATTTTTTTTTCAGAAGAACACCTACCAAGCGTATTTGGAAAGGAAAAGGGCGAAGAAAGCTGAGCGCAAGCAAAAACTGCGTGAAATGCGAGACAAGGAACGGGAAGCAGTGAGAGAAGTCGAGGGTCAAGCCAAGGCTAAGCAGAAGGTGCGTGTCCGTGGTTTATGCCTTGCTGAAAAGCGTAAAAGACGTCTTAGGGATCACTAACCCCTTTTCAGGAGAGTCGTGCTGCTTTGCGAGCCACAAAAGAGAAAGAGGACAAAGATGGAGCTATAGTAGAGGCTGTGGCAGGTGATGAACGTTTCAAAGCGCTTTTCACGGACAGTGCTTATGCCATTGAGCAAAGTTCAAAGAACTACAAGGTTAGTCGTTAAGTAGTCACTACGCGTGGCATGCTTTTTTACGCAGTTTATTTATGTGTTTACTTATTTATTATGTGAAAAAAGCGTCCTCACGGCCGGCACGAAATGGTTATTTTAGGGCTCGAAATTAATAGAGAAGCAGGTTTCCGCCAAGCGAAAAGCTGTGGAGCAATCTGCAAGACCAGACAATACCAATGCGAAAGATCTTGTATCAAAACTAAAGAGTAAGTCAGCAAAATGGAAACGATAGATTATTTGTGATCTGTAAAGTGTGACTGTTGTTGTTGATTTTTGTTGTTGAATTTCATAAATTTGTTTATTGTTGTTCGGAACATTCTCAGAGAATACTTCTGCTAACAGACTCAGATACTGCCGGAAGGTCGAGAAGGCTTGCTAATGGCATGCGCACTGCTTAGCGATCACTTGGTCCACCAGTAGATGTTGTGGCGATAGTTGGGGGGGGGGGGGGGGGGGGGGGGGGGGGGGGGGGGGGGGGGGGGGGGGGGGGGGGGGGGGGGGGGGGGGGGGGGGGGGGGGGGGGGGGGGGGGGGGGGGGGGGCCCCCCTTTTCGTGAGCAGAAATTCTCTTTTCGATATTACACATGTAGAGCGCTAACCCTACTTTTATGGAGCCTATTGCTGTCCCTGTGGGGAACAATAGGGGCGAAGTGCTAATTTTTGTGAAATCGTATTCGAATGCGCCATGCACTACACT